TTGAGTGGGGCCCTGTGACTCATGCTGGAACATCTGCACTGATCTAGAGAATGGCGGGGGCGTTAGAGGCCCTTGGGATCTGCCGAGTTGCTGCCGTGTGAGTGTGTGCAGATGCGTGTATGAATGTGTGCAGGGGTGTGTGTGTGTGTGTGTGCATGTGTGTGAACTGTAGGGTGCCCAGCACCAGCGCCCCCAGGTCCTCCTTGGCAAGATCCACTCAGTTACTCATTCACTCCACAGTTTAAAGACCTCAATCTTTCCCCAGCATTGAATCAGTTGTTTCCAACTCCTTAGCCTGGCACAGTGCCAGGCTCCCGCCCTCACCTGTTAGCATTTCCTACCACCCCAGGTGGGGGGCCTCTTATGTGGGCTGCAGAGACACCAGATGCCACCATTTCTAGACATCCCTGAGAGCCCCGCCTTTGCCCGTGCTGGCCAACCCTCTGGGATGCCCTACCCTAGTCCAGCTGCCCTCTGCCAAATACAGCATAGTGGTTAGGAGGGAGGGCTCCAGGGCCAGACTCCCTGGGCCTGAATCCTGGCACTTAGGATTCTCATCGCTTCACCTCTCAGCCTCAGTTTTCTCATCTGAAGCAGGGAGACTGGCGGAACCTCCCTCTTGTGGCTGCGGTGAGGAAGGAATGTGATCTGAACACAGCCTGCCTTTGACCTGGTGGGTCTACACTAGCTCATGGGCACAGTAGCACATGCCTCATTCCCTCACCCAAAGTCCAGCTCCTCCATCTTCCTGACCACTCACAGTGCACCGGACACTGCGGTGGGCACTGGGGGTGGGGGCGGCGGGGCTCAAGGCAGACCCTGCCTACCTGGAGTTCATGTCTAATGTGGGGCTGGAGAGCGGAAACAAAATGACAAGTTCTGACATCTATACAACACTCACCACGGTTCCCTGTGCATGGTAGGTCCTCAGGTTGGAATTCAGAAGACATTTACTGACGGTACCCAAATTGGGGCCAGGGAACTTTCACATTCATTATGTCATCCCCCCATGATCCTTTGAGGTAAGTGCACAAAGCTCATATCCTTTGAGGAAGCTGAGGCCCAGGGAGGTTGTGACTAGCCCAAGGTCTGACAGCTACTCAGTGGCAAAGCTAGCAGCCAAATCTAGGTCTGCCTAATACCAAAACCCAAATCTCACCCATGGGCCATGAGGATCCAGGGGTGGGAGCAGCAAGCAGGAAAGATGCTGGAAGGAAGCTGCTTTGGGAACCATCCCCCAAAAGGCTGTATTGCAGGAACTTCCCAGTGTCACACTAACCAGCCCTGTCACCAAGAGGCCACCTGCCTTCCTTGTCCCTCTTTCCAGTTTCCAGTCTCACATGCTGGGGACAGCTGATAGTCAACCTCACTTCCGGTTACCATAGCCAAATGGTTAATGGTAATTAATTCAATTTGTTTGGCAGGGGAATTAAAGGCTTGGCTGTACTAACGATCTTAAGTTAACATAGCATTTATGCTAGCTGGAGGCAGAGACATGCCTTCTCCTCTAAATGAAGAATCAGTTCTATTAATAAGACTACATCTCTCTAGGTAATGAGCCTGGCAGATAGATGGTTTGCTGCCAGAGAGGGAAAGATGACAAACAAAGAAGCAAAATGATGACAGCAGAGAGGATGGCAACTTTTCAAAGGCTTCCCCGGGAGACGTAGACTTGGAGAGCAGGGAGGAGTCTGCATTGGCCGACAAACCGGCACCGATGGCCAGATACACGAGTGAGGTCAACTTGGACCTTCTGGGTGTTCCAGCTCTGACTACAACTGTATGACTAAGCCCAGGCAGGAAAGGGAAACGGTCTTGTCAACTCATAGAATTGTGAGAAATGATCAGTTATTGCTGCTTTTGGCCACCGTGTTTGGAGAGACTGTTTTGCAGCAACAAATAACAATCATGGTGGAAGGCAAAGGAGAAGCAAAGGCATGTATTACATGGCGGCAACCAAGAGAACGCGTGCAGGAGAACTGCCCTTTATAAAACCATCAAATCTCGTGAGACTTATTCACTATTATAGAAATAGCACAGGGAAAACCTGCCCTCATGATTCAATTACCTCCCACCATGTCCCTCCCACGACATGCGGGGATTATGGGAGCTACAATTCAAGATGAGATTTGGGTGAGGACACAGCCAAATCATATTAAGTTCCAACACTTCTCTCCCATCCACCCCCCGCTCCCAGGTTCAGCAATTTCTTTCTGAGTTCCTTCTCTTGCCTTCAGAGTCCTGCCGCTGCTACATTCCACTGAGAGAAGGTGAGCTCACGTCCCAGGAGCAGTGAACCACTCCAGGTGCCCCAGGCTCGGCAACTCACTCTCCCAGCCAGCCCCTCCTACAGGCAGTCCCTGCTGGCAGATCTGTCCAAAACCAGCATTCTGCCCTGGAGACCTCACCTACCCAAGGCCAGGAGCAGGGGCCCTCAAGCTTTTCACTGCCTTGCACAGAAAGGATGACACTGGAAGCATGACACACTCCCAAAGGTGTCTGTGTGTGGTTGAATGGTGAACTCCCAGAAGATATGTCCACCCAGAACCTGTGAATGTGACCTTATCTGGTAAAAGGGTCTTTGCAGATATAATTAAGTAAATGATCTTGAGATGGGATCACCCTGGAAGAGAGTGGGCCCTAAATCCAATGACTGACTGTCCTTATGAGAGAAGAGAAGACAACAGGCAGAGACTGGAATGATGTGTCTACAAGCCAAGGAATGCTAAGGACTGCCGGCCGCCACAAGAAGCTGGAAGAGACAGGAAAAATCCTCCCCTAGAGCCTTCAGAGGGAACGTGGGCCTGCCGACACCTTGATTTTGAACTTCTTGTCCCCTTCATTCCCACTTGAGAAAGTGCACCAGGATGCAAAAGCCAATGTCATTATTACAGGATGGTCCATCTTGCATCTACTCTAATGTATGTACAAAAAATAATTTTCCAAAGTTTGATGATGATTTTTCTTGATTTTTAAACTATTTTTAACTTTTAACTATTATTTCTAAGAACTGGGAACACATTTTGCAAGGCTCACAGCCCCTGGCCCAGAACCTCTGTCCCGGGGAACAAGCTTGTGAAGGGATTTCTGTCTGTGTCAATAATCCATGCTCACCTTTCTCCTGAGCCATCTCCTGCAGACAGAAGTAGATGACTCTGGCTCCCAGGCTGAAGCCAATCAAGGTGACAGGTCGCCGGCCCTGAAGGGAAAAAGGACACAGGTGTCTGGAGGGAATACAGCCAGTTATAGCAAAACATCAGGCCTGAGGAGGGCAGCCTTTGCACGTTCCTTATTACCTGATTCTCATCTAATGAATCATGCATGTGCTATTGCGGTCCCTGAGCTCTGATGTCTTAATCAGCAGAGTCAGGACCTTCATTTATGCAGGAGTGCACCTGCTGCTGAAATTGGCTTCCTCCAAGGCCAACAGGCAGCCCCCGGCTGGGTTAATTCCCTTTCATCTCAAACCATTACCCAGCCACCATCTCATCTTCCCCAGGAGACGGGGCTAGTCAATTACAAGAGCAACTTCCCTTGGACTGATCTGCCTTGTGGCAAATGGCTGCAGTGCTGCAGGACCCCTTTTGGAGCTGGGGAGATTAGACAGAAGGCACCCCCGGGTGTGAGGGGTAAAAAGGCAAGAGTGACAAGGGAGGGACAACTGTTCTGTTTCTAGATAGGAAGGTGGGGCACAATATATTGGCTCTAAGTGACAAGATAAGGTAGTAAGTCAGATGGAAAGAGGAATTTTCTGACTCAAGGACTTGTAGTAAAGGCAATTCATTATGTGAAGACTCTAAAGAAAATGAAAGTTATCTGGGGGTGTCTGGGTACAAGCTTACACGGAAGGAGACGAGGGGAGTGGATGAACTCTGGATGCCCAGCCTGGTTTTATCAGTCTATTCCTTTTCCTTGGTTTTGAGCCAATACACGTATTCCACACCCCCACACCACTCCACTTACCACAGTAGAAAATCCTTTGTTAAACAGTATTCAAATCCCGCAGGAGCTTTGTGCCAACCCTGCTGGCTGCTGCCCAATATCATTCTCCCCTTTGTCCTTTACTCCTGAGTTTGACTGGGCATGCGGCCACCCAGCCAAAGACGAAGTCTCCCGGACTCCTCCATAGCTAGGGGTGGCCACAGGGCTGAGACTTAGCCAAGGGACTGAAGGCAAGCAAAAGCTGTGACTTCTAGGCATACTCCTCATCCCGACTTCCCTACCTCCCACTGTCTGAAACACACACGTAATGCGGGAAGATCTGTCTTGGACAAGAGAGAAGCCCGGTCAGGCACGGTGGCTCACGCCTGTAATCCCAGCACTTTGGGAGGCCAAGGCGGGCAGACCACTTGAGGTCAGGTGTTTGAGCCAGCCTGGCCAACATGGTGAAACCCCATTTCTACTAAAAACATACAAAAATTAGCCAGGTGTGGTGGCAGGCACCTGTAGTCCCAGCTACTCGGGAGGCTGAGACAGGAGAATCAGTGAACCTGGGAGGCGGAAGTTGCAGTGAGCTGAGATCATGCTACTGTACTACAGCCTGGGTGATAAAGCGAGACTCCGTCAAAAAAAAAAAA